TCTCTCTCTCTCTCTCTCTCTCTCTCTCTCTCTCTATTTATTTATTTTGGCAGTAGAGATTGAACCCAGGGCACTTAACCACTAAGCCACACTCCTAGCCCTCTTAATATTTTATTTGAGACAGGACCTCACTAAGTTGCTGAGGCTGGCTTTGAACTTGCCATCCTCCTGCCTCAGCCTCCCAAGTCACTGGGATTACAGGCATGTGCCACTGTGGCTGGCCAATAAACTTGTGGAAATTGCTCATTGATTCCAACAATTTATAGATTCTGATATAGATTCTTTGTTATCATGTCATTGCAAACCATGTTCATCTTATTTCTTCCTTATTTTCCTTTTCTTGTTTTATTGCACTGGCTGAGACTTCCAGTGCTGATAGTGGGTATCCTTGTCTTTTTCCCAACCTTAGAGGGAAAAAATATCAATATTTTTGTGGATATTCTCTATCAGATTAGGTTTCTTTCTATTCTTTGTTGTCATTTTTTTCACCAATGGGTGTTGAATTTTTTTCAGTGACTCTGCCAAATACTTCTGCATTGAGTCTTTTATTTGATATATTTAACAGTCATTGCTGAAAGTCTGAGTGTGTTACTTCCTCTGAGTCCTCCCTTTTGGTTGCTTTGTTCTCCTTTGTTTTAGTGATCTTGGCTCATCAGAGTCTTTAGGAAACCTGGGGCTCTAAACTGAGGTTGATGAGGGGATTGTGGCGGGAACGGGGGTCCCTCCCAGCTGCCCTGGCTTGGTTGGCTCATCTGGAGTTTTGCTTGTCACTTCACTTGGCTTCACCTTTGACTGCAGTGCCAAAGTCAGCATCTGCCCCAGGAGCCCATCCCGTATGCTGAGGGTCCTGTTTCTACCCCTTGTTTCACTTTCCTTTAGGGAGAGCCTCAGGGGAACCTCTTCTATTCTAATGGCCGCAAGCATTTCCCATTCATGCTCAAGGTCCCCTCCCGCTGCTAGGGCAGGAGTTACTTTCCCTCTAGCACAGCCGTCCCCCTCCCCCCTTCAGAGCAGGTCCTTCTGTCTTCTAAGGCTCCTCCCACTTCTGGCAGCTCCTGGCCCAGTCTCCTTTGTTGGACTGTCCTCCTCTTTCCAATCACTAAATCTCTGCACCCCTGAGGGCGAGGTCCCGCCTGGGCCTCTAACTGTGCCCCCAGCTTGGATGGCCACCTCCTGCCCTGAGACAGCTGGATGTGTGACTCCAGCCCTGACTCTGAATCCAGACTTGTCCATACACTTGCCAACATTGCATCTGGGTTTCGAGACCTAATGGACACCCGGCTTAGCATGTGCAGGATGACACTTTGGACTCCATATGCCCCCTGCTCCGCTGGCATCCCCTGAGAGAACCGTGTAAGGCAGCAGGTCCTCTGGTGAATCTCCAAGAGTGGGTTCTTGGGCTGGGCTCTTGGTGGCTCAGTCCCCGTGGTGTGTGCCTGGGCCACCACCTTCTGCTGCAGGTGCTCTTGGTGGCCATGACCTTAGAGGGACATGGGGTGAGGTGCTGAATCAAACCGCCCCTGCATGCGGCACTGTAATCAGAACTGTTCTCTCCTCTTGCTCTGCCTCCCGCCCTGTCTGCTGCCGGCCCCTGTCTGCAACCACCCACTCGCTGCATGGCAGAAGTCCTCCAGCTCCGCGTCCTCCGAGGCCTCGGAAACATGCCAGTCTGTTAGCGAGTGCAGCTCCCCCACCTCGGTCAGTGCCCCCAGCCCCGTCCCAGGAAAATCACCGGCTGTTCAAACTGTGCCCTCCCAATATGGGGTCAGCACCCCAAAGAGGCTCAGGTTCAGCCAGAGGACCCCCCAGCCACTCCCTACACAGCCACATCTCTCCCTCCTGGGGCTCCCTGCTCTGCCCCTGGGGCTGGTGGGACAGCAGCCATACCCACCCTCCAGGCTCTGGCTTGGGCCATTGCGCTGAAGGCCCCTCACAGACCTGGACAACCCAGCCTCAACCCCAGTGAAGGGCCCCATTGGCTCTGGGCAGCAAGGCCAAGAGTCCCCCTGACCTGCCTGCCACACCCTGCAGGACTGGACCAAGGCTGGCCCCCACGAGCAGCCCTCAGGCGCCACGCTGCAGCGGAGGAAGGACCGAGTGGAGCTTCTCCGAGACAATGAGCCAGGCCCCGCTAGTGGAGGCACCCTGGGCCCCAGTGGAGAAGAGGTGCCACGACCTCGGATGTCCCCTGCCACCATCGCAGCCAAGGTAGGCGGGCAGCTCCCCAGGCAGCCTAGCCAGGACCCCCTGAACTCCCAGCTCAATGCCAGGAGGCCCAGTCTCCAGGGCCAGCTTCAGCCGCCTCAGTGGGGCTGCCTGGAGTCCAGGCAGAGGGTAGAAAGGAAGAGAGACGTCAATCTACAATTTTACCTCCCCCAGCATGGCGAGGAGGTGTCCCCTGCGGCCAGCGACCTGGCCATGGTGCTGACCCGCGGCCTGAGCCTGGAGCACCAGAAGAGCAGCAGGGATTCGCTGCAGTACTCGAGCGGCTACAGCACGCAGACCACCACGCCCTCGTGCTCCGAGGACACCATCCCCTCCCAAGGTGGGTCTGCAGGAGGCCATCCCCGGCCGATGAGGATGTGTGAGGCCTTCACAGCCTGTGGCCCCACCCCACAGGGACAGCTGGGCCTAGGCCACACACGAGGGCCCCCTTCTTCCCTCTCTGTGTCCATCCTGGGTGAGCTGGGGCTCAGGGGATACCTGGACCCTAGGCTCACTGCATCTTGTGTCCCCAGGCTCCGACTATGACTGCTACTCTGTGAATGGGGACGCGGACAGCGAGGGCCCCCCTGAGTTTGACAAGTCGTCCACCATCCCGCGCAACAGCAACATCGCCCAGAACTACCGCCGCCTGATCCAGACCAAGCGCCCAGCCTCCACCGCGGGGCTGCCCACCGCCGGGCTGCCCACCGCCGGGCTGCCCACCGCCACAGGCCTGCCCTCCGGCGCCCCACCTGGCGTGGCCACCATCCGCCGCACACCCTCCACCAAGCCCACTGTACGCCGTGCCCTGTCTAGCGCCGGCCCCATCCCCATCCGGCCACCCATCGTCCCTGTGAAGACACCCACGGTACCCGACTCCCCTGGCTACGTGGGACCCACGCGGGCAGGCAGCGAGGAGTGTGTCTTCTACACGGATGAGGCCGCCTCGCCCCTGGCACCGGACCTCGCCAAGGCCTCCCCCAAGAGGCTCAGCCTGCCCAACACAGCCTGGGGCAGCCCGTCGCCGGAGGTGGCCGGCTACTCCACAGCGGGGGCAGGGCTGGCGGCTGAGGATGACGAGGAGCAGCAGCTGGCCGCCAACCGGCACAGCCTGGTGGAGAAGCTTGGGGAGCTGGTGGCAGGTGCCCACGCCCTGGGCGAGGGCCAGTTCCCCTTCCCCACCGGCCTGTCTGCCACCCCAGCCGAGGAGACGCCTACCCCACCCCCTGCTGCCACCAGCGACCCCCCAGCCGAAGACATGCTGGTGGCCATTCGACGCGGGGTCCGGCTCCGCAGGACCGTCACCAATGACAGGTCTGCGCCCCGCATCTTATGATGGCGCCACCCTCCCCACCCTGTCTGGCCCCAGCACAAGCAGGTGGCCTGGTCTGTGAGCAGCAGCCACTCAGCACAGGCACAGTCAGGAGAAAGAACAGCGCCAGGGACAAAGCCAAGCCACTTTATGGAAGAGACACCCAGGCTGGACCACAGCGTTTAACGGGATGTGACTTCTTTAACAAACCTCGCAGGACAGGTGGAGCCTGCAGGCCTCGAACTGGTTTTGGAGCCTGTTTTCTACTTCCCTTGCCCACTCTGTCCCTCCTCTCAGGCCCTGCCTTTTCCAAACCCTCAGAGCCCAGCCTGCCTCGTGCCACCCTGGCCCACCTGGCCTGGGGTCCAGAGCTGCTCCCCAGGTCACGGTGCCCTGGCTCACTCTGGAATGCCGGCCCTTCCTGTCCCTTCATGAGCCCCCTACACCTCTCCCCTCTACCTCTGCCTCTTCCAGGTCCCTCTCCACCTGGGTGGCAGGGTGGCTGTGGAGGGGCCAGTGTCCAATCAGCTGGGGTATCTTAATTTGTGGCTAGAATTAGGGGAGCAGGTTGGAGTTTGGAGACCAGGCCAACCCATGGGGAAGGGAGTCCAAGTGGAGTCACGGGGAGGAAGGACATGGAGTGGGCCTGCATGTGGAAGGCTCAGGGGACCCTCCCACCTCCTCTCCCATGTGAGGGGTGGCAGGAAGGGGACCCACTAGGGCAGCAGGGAAAGGAAGGCAGAGGGCCAGGGGGTGGCCTGGCCAGCCACACAGGAGCTGCCTCAGATATCCCGCTCTCATCTGGCACATCAAGACTTTTGACTAGTGGCACTTTGGGGTCACAGTTGCAGCCTCCTTTGGGGTCGGGGGCTGGAGCAGTAGACGGTATGGAGGGTTATTTTATAAATATAATAAATTGGAGCTGACCCCAGACAAGGATTGTGTGGGGGGCGAGCTGGTGGTACAGGGTGTGTGTCTTCGAGTGCCTGAGAGGGGGAGGTCACAGGGTGGCCTGATGGGCCTATGGCAGGAGAAGGGCAGAATCAACTCCCCTGAAGCGGGGGGAAGCTGTTCTCTCCAGTGTAGCCAAAATGAGCCTGCAGAGGGCAGGGCCAGGGTGTCTCTGGGCCTGTCTGCTGGGGTTTGAGGGAGCTGCAGGCCTGGGGTGGGGGAGCAGGTGCAGGGTGATGGGCTGTGACTCTCTGTTGCCAGCGGAGATGTCCAGGATGGGCCTGGGCTGGCAGCAGGGCTAGGCGGAGGAGTGGGGCACCCTCCTCTGTGAGGCCAGGTCTGAGTGGGTAAAAGCACGTGAGCCTAGGGCAAGTGGAGGGAATCAGGGTGGACTGTGGGTGGTAAAGAGCAGCGGAGCCCCAAGGGGGGCATCTCGCTGGGCGTCAGGAGAGCACTTTGCCTTGGTGTGGATGGAATGGTGTTGGGGCTGGTCCAGGCTTGAGCTCCTGGGAGTTCTTGGGCCGTGAACTGGGATCTCAGCAGGGTTGACCCCGTGTGAGTGAGTCCCGCTGGGCTCCCTGGGGACTGCTGGAGAAGGGTCCCTGCAGGTCCCTCGATCTGAGAACTGCCTGGCGGAGCCCATGGCCCACCGAGCTCCCAGCCGTGGGAACCCAGAGAGCAGGTGATGAGTGTGGGGTCCCTGGGGTGGAGTTCCTGCTGCACCTTCCCCGCTCAGGGCTGCGTCGGGTTTGCCCAGGTGACCTGATGGGGTGGGAAGCAGCATGTGTGAGGGGACAGTGAGGAGCAGCAGGAGGGCAGGCGTGGCCTCTGCGCCAGGAGTGTGACTGGTCACAGGGGTCCCTGGAGGAAGAGCTCACCGCCTCCTGGGGGCTCCCCAGGCCCTGATGGGCAGTGGGGGCTGGGGCTTCCCAGGAGAAGGTGGGGGGCACTGCCTCCCCTCCCCTGAGCCCCCAGGGCTGTACATACTCCGTCCCCTCGTCTGTTCCCTGGCCACCCCCTGCTTCCCTCGTCATTTAGCGACCACCTCATAGCGCCCCCCCCTTCCGGGATCCGAGCCAACAATCCCGCGTCATAAACTTTGGTTTTGAGGGGGGGGATTCTTTACATTTGTTTATTTTTCATTTTGTACAGAGAACTGTTCTTTTCAAAAGCGTCTTTTGACTGCAGTAACTTTTCTGGTGCTGTTAACTTGTTCCTTTTTTTAATTTATTTTCCCTCCCCAAGGCCCCCCCTCACCCCGTTCCTGTTCACCCTTCCCCACACACACACCCCTTCATCCCCCCCCCCCGAACCGTCTCGTTCCTTTTCTTTCCGTTGGCTTTTGGATAAATCCTCCTCTCCTCCTGCCCCCTCCACTCCATCCGCCCCTTGATTTAAATAGTCACTGCTACAAGTAACAAATGCACTGTGAGGATCCAGTATTAATAAAGTCGTACTGTAATTAACACCCCTGCCTCTGCCTGGATTCCCTGGGCTGCGGTGGCGGCTCACCTGCCTTCCCCTCCTGCCCCTGCAGCCTGACCTTGGTCACCCCAGGCCCCAGGGGCTGCGAGCCACGGGGGTCTCCCTGAGGCAGGGGCAGGAATGGCTGAGGCTTGAACTTGGCCTGGGATCTTGGAGGTGCCTCACTCTGCCCCTGCTGGGAGCAGCCCAAGGGAAGGAAGAAGGAAAGATGGCCAGGGTCACTGCCAAGGGACCCAAACGCCCCAGCAGACACTCCTCAGGGCCACCGAGGCGCCACAGGCTAGGAAAGGGCTGGAAGGAAGTCCGTCCTCAACTGTCCCCGGTACGGGTACGGCTTCGCTCAATCCAGAGGCAGCCCCTCTGCCGCAGCCTGGTTGGCCCAGCCCTCCTCCGCCTCCTGCACTGGGCGGACCCCCAGCCCCTCAGGCTCACTCTCCCAGATGAACACAAAACGCAACAAAATCAAACAAAATGGGCATTTAATAGAAAAAAAAGGATCTGGAAGAGCATCCACTGTGGCAAGATGTGGCATGTGGCTCTGCCCTCGGACAGCCCTCCCCATCAGTCCAGCTGGAAAGCCTCCGTGTGAGTCCCAGAATCCCACGTGGGCCCCGTCCCTGCCCAGGGATGCTCTGGCTCTGTGGCCCCAGGAGACGGCAGCACCGCCTGCAGGCAGGGGAGGCCAAGGGGGTGGCACCAGGTCTCCCTGACCCCCACCCCTCCAAGTGAGAGCAAGGAAGGTACGAAAGGTGGGAAGCTGAGGCCCACGGTGGCACAGAATCCCCCGGAGGGAAAAACACCTTCCCCAAGGGCCTCTCCCACGGCGGGGACCCCCATCACACAGCAAAGTCTCGGGCCTAGTCCAGCTCCCGGAAGTCCTCAGGTGTCCCCACCCAGGGTCAGCACACAGGCCCATCAGGGCAAGGGGTCCTCGCCCTGTGCCCTGACCTGGGGTCCAGTGCTTGAGCCAGGGGAGTGGGGCAGGGAGGTGGGGGTCTGCTGGGGAGGGGGGTACAGCCGGGCGGCCTCACACTGCCAGGTACGGGGCTGAGGACTTGGCACCTCGCACTCCTGCCATTTCAGGATGGAGCTGTGTTTACCTGTAAGGGACAGAAAAGGAAACGAGGGAAATTGCAGGACACATCAAGACCTCCCTCCCCTCAAGCTAAGGGCCCATCTGGGTTTCCAAAAGTGACCCATCACTCTCGGGAGCAGAGGGCATGCCCAGGAGGGTGCCAACTCTTCCTGCTGACCCTGACGCAGATGCTTGGCCTCTCGTCCCTCGGCCCCACGCACACGGAGCTCCTTACAGCAAGAGCAGTACAGCAGCTCCATGACCCGGAAGCAGTTGTCCATCAGGGCTTTGGGCCGCACCAGCTTCAGGCTCCGACCTGGCACATTCAGGAGGGACAACACCTCTTCCACCTTAGGGCTGATCTCCACATCCTGGAGGGAGGAACCGGTCAGAACCGTGACAGATGGGGACACAATGCACGAGAGAACCGTGGGGGCTACCTGACTTGGTGCCACCCCAAATCACGAAAGGCAGGCAAGACGTTCTGGGACCAGGAACCCGCGCGTTATGTCTCACCTTCTTCCCGCAAGTACAGAAAGGGTCCCAGCTCTCACCTCTTACACAAGCACAACCCAGAGGCTCCCGTTTCTCCATCATGGGAAAAACGAACACAGGGCCCAGGCCAGGACAGGGAGCAAGGAAGCCGCTGTTCTAGACCATGCCTGGCCGCCCGCCCCCAAGCTGGGAAAGCTGCCCCCCATCGACTGCAAGAACAAGAGAAAGCCCTCACGGGAGACACGGAGGTGAAAGTCACAGACAGGGCCGGGTGTCAGACTCCAAACTCAGCTTGCCTTCATGAGGCTTAACCAGAGGAACACGCGGGCAACAAGATGGGTAGCCAAAGTCCCTGAAGAGGGACCACAGCCATTGTAGAGGCATCGAGGAAAAGGTGGGGCCTGAGCTGGGGGCAGCAGCAGCCCACGCAAAAACTCTGAACTGCATTATGTCTCCCAGCACCCCATATCCCAGTCCTACCCTCAGTATCTGTGACTGTGACTCTATTTCTAAATGGGGACATAATTGAGGATCTGGAAGAAGGACATCATCTCCGATTTGGGGAGGGCCCTAGATCCAGTGACAGGTGTCCACATGAGAGAAAGATCACAGAGACAGGTGACCACGTGGCAGAGGCCACCGAAGACTGAGACAGAGGTTGGGTCATGTGGCTGGAAGCAAGAGAAGACCCTCCCTAGAGCCTTCAGGGGGAGTGTCGCCCTGCCGACGCCTGGATCCGGGACTTCTGGCCTCCAGAACTATGAAAGAAGAGATTTCTGCTTCAAGGCATTCGTTTTGTACTAATTGGTCACAGCAGTCCTGGAAAACTGGTAGACAGAGGTGGAGTGAGAATGAATCTGGGGAGAACCCAGCCGCCTAGTAGATGTGTCCCCTTGCCCTGGGGAGGGTACACAGCCCCGGGAGCCACTGGGCCATCTCGAGAAGCTCAAAGTTGAGGACAGCTGGACAGATGTCATCTTCCTAAAGCCTCTTAGAGGAAAAGAGTCCAGAAGGTCTTCAAAAAGCTCCACCTAGAGACACCAGATGACTCCCAGGTGCCAACCCCAAAGAATTGAAAACGACGACTCAGACACTTGTACACCCATGTCCACAGAAAGCATTCTTCATAAGAGCCAAAAGGCCGAAGGAGCCCGAGACAGATGGAGGCACAGATATAATTATCTGCACAAAATGGAATATCATTCAGCCATGAAAAGAAAGGGTCTGCTATGGCACGGATGGACTTTGAAAACATCATGCAGCCAGCTGCGGTGACACAGGCCTGTAGTCCCAGCAATTCGGGAGGCTGCCGCAGAAGGATCTGAAGTTCAAAGCCAGTCTCAGCAACTTAGGGAGGCCCTCAGCAAATTAGTGAGACCCTGTCTCAAAATTTAAAAAAATTAAAATGGGCTGGGAAGGTGGCTTAGTGGTAAAGTGCCCCCAGATTCAATCCCAGTACTGGGGTGCAGGGAGAAAGTAGGATAGAAACAACTCAGAGCCGGGGGTGGGGGGAGGCCTCGCCTGTAATCCCAGCAGCTTCAGAATCTGAGGCAGGAGGATTGTGAGTTCAAAGCCAACCTCAGAAATTTAGTGACACACTAAGCAACTCAGTGAGACCCTGTCTCTAAATAAAATATGAAAAAGGGCTGGCGGTGTGGCTCAGTGGTTGAGTGACCTTGGGTTCAATCCCCAGGTTCAAAAAAAAAAAAACAATGTAGAACCCAGACTTCAGGTAACCTCCAAGTAGAGAACGAGGTAGAATAGAATCAGCTTTACAGCCAGATACAATTTCAGGTTCCTCCCAATCCCTCTCCTTTCCAAGTGATGAATCTAGATGGACAGAATGCCTTTATTTTATTTTTTTAATGTGGTGCCGAGGATCGAACCCAGTGCCTCCCGTGTGCTAGGCAAGTGCTCTACCCCTGAGCTACAGCCCCCGCCCCCAAGTGATGAACCTAAAGCCCAGAGGTGAACAACCTGTTCAAGGCTGCTGGTGTCCCACCCGCAGATGGGATCTCCCACACTACAGGACCACTGGGAGTTTTAAAAGCGAAGAAAATCTGAAAGGTGGTTTTCCCTAAGTTAAGTCCATCCTAAAGGCAAGGTCCTAGCCTCCCAGCAGGATTGGAGAAAAGAGAGACTGAAAATCTGGCTGCAGGGATGGCGGATGTTCATCAGGAGAGGCCAAGGAAGGTGGGCGGGGTCCATCAGCCTCCAATCAGAAATGCTTCCCAGGAAAAATGAGGGCAGGAGGGGTCTCTTCCCCAGGTCAGCTCATCTTGCCCGAGGACACCCATCTGGCCCATGGGCACAAAACAGCCACCAAGGAAATCGCTGGACCTCCTGACCTCCTTCCAGCCCTGTCCCAGGACCGGTTCCAGGCAGCTGCAAAAACAATGGCTGGTCCCTAGCCCTTTCATCATGGGAAGCTCACAGTTGGTGTGGGATGTTCTGGCCCTGGACGGGGCCTCCTGGGCAGATGAGACCAGGCAGCTGGCTGAGCCGGGTGGCAGGTGCGTCCTGAGGGGCAGGTGTGCTCTGGGGCCTGAGGAGGCCTGTGTGGCTCCGGGATGATCCCCCCCGCCTCCCCCTTTCAGAGGGCTCATGCATTACAGAGGACATCCCCCTGAGGCCTCAACCCTGCCGAGCGAGAAGGAGTCTCTTTTTTAAAAAATTAATTTTCTTAATTAACTCAAATCGTGGCCCATTAGGACTCCCGTTCTGCGTCGCACAGTTCTGTGGGTTGACAAATGCATGATGTCACACACCCACCATCAGTGAATTACCCAGAACAGTTTCTTCACCCTAAAAAATCTCCTGCACTCCACCTTTTCTTCCTGCCTACACTCCCAAAAAAGCCTCATTTCTCAGAGATAGAGAATCCCGTGGCCTGTCCGGGATCCCCAGCAGGAGAAGCAGGGCCTGGAACAGGGTCTCCACACCTCTTCCTTCCTCCAACTTCTTTTCCTGTATGCTTCCCCCATCCCTCCCACACCCCACCCCTCAATGTGCCAGAACTTTCCACACATTCATCCCTTGGCTCCATAGCCCTTGACCCCACCTCTCGGACACACACGCTCACACCCGCACCCGCAGGCCCAGCTCACCGGGAGGCCCTGTTTGATGTTGAGCAGCAGCGTCTGAACCTCCTGCATGTACTTCCAGGACGGGTGGCCCTCGAGCAGCACGTCCTGCACCGACTCGGTGGCACTGAGACTCACCAAGACCCACAGATACCGCTGCTCCTGCTCGCTCACCCGCGCCTTCTGCTGCAGAGACAGGAGAAAACTCTGGAACCTCCCCCGGTGTGGGCTGCTCCACTGTGACCCTCCTCCAAGGACTTGTCCCTGCATGAAACTGACCACGGGGGTCTACAATGGATATCGGGCAACCTCGGACCTGGGTCAAGGGTGGGCTCACTTGAGGGACTGATGAAAGGCCCCTGGACAACAGCAGGACCTGCCAAGACCAAAGTGCCTCTCAGGCTGGGGTCCACAGGGGATCGCAGGAGGTGGGGGTCTCGGCAGCCCAGGAAGGGATCCTCACCAGCCTGGTGATGTTGGCGATCCTGAGCACCCCCTCGTAAGGCACGCCGATCCTGTAGTTGATGGGGAAGTAGTGTTTCTGGAGAGGGACGAACCAGGAGGTCAGAGGCAGAAACTGCACAGACAGGCTGCCCCGGCCCAGGTGCATGCCAGCCGCAGGGGAGGCCCGCACCAGAGAGCCCCCTGCCGGCACAGGAGTCCTCTGAAGAGGACACGTCCCTGCTCCCAACAGCACTAACGCCAGCTCACGTTCCTCTGGGACACAGGGAGGGTGAAACAAAACACATAGTTCAAGCAGAAGTTTTGGGCTCAGTGTAAGGACCTCCTACTTCAAGAAAGACACGTATTTGGGGGGTGAGAGGGATGTTCTATAACTTGCTGTGGTGGTGGTCGCCCAACTCTGTGAACACACTAAAAACCAAGGGAGTTATACCCTCTAAATGAGTGAATGGTAGGGCAGTCAACACTGCCTTCAGAAGCTCTTTTTAAAAACAGAGTGGGCATCTCCACTCCTCAAAAAGAACCAAACATCCCAATTGGCAGGTCTTTGTCTCCCCTGCTAATAAGTGCCGGGATGGGGGCATTCCCCCAGGGAGTTGCTGGATTCCATTCCTGAATCCCAGGGGAAATGCCCTGTGGCTGGCGGCAGGGGTGGGGGGAATCAAAGGTCAGGAGAGGGGGAAGCCCTGGGAGATGGCAGGAGGAGGCCGGTAAAGACCCCAGACACGTTGGTTATGTGTTAGAGAAGGGAGCCATGGCAACACTGGGGCTGACTCAGGTCCTAGGAGGGTCCCTGACTATCCAGAGCCCTGTGCCAGGTGCGCCATGGGGCTGGGGACAGGGGTGCTGGTGGTGCCCATGTGGTTACCATGTACTGAAGCCGGTTCCTGTACTGCAGCTTGTCCCGAAGGAAGCCTGTGACGGTGCACTCCTTATTCTGGGTCAAGGGCCACACCTCCAAACCCTCATTCCCCAAGGCCACACCAAGGAGGATCCCAAGATCTGTGGACCACAGCCAACAAGAGCACGTCAGCGCCAGGTACCACGTCCACACTGTCCCCAGGGCCCAGCTGGGCACAACTGTCATCCACGTTCTTGGGTTATAAAGACACACAGGAGAGGTGGTGACAGATGCACAGACCCTGTCACCTGAGGAAGACTTCCCACCCAGAACCCGCAGGGTGTCCCTGGGTCTGGACCTCAGAAGAGCAAGGACAGGTAGGTGCAAGCTGTCCAGAAGGTGATCCACATCCACCCCACCCCTGGCCAGCAGATCCCCAGGAGGCACTTAATCAAGGTCAGTCCCCAACTCCTGCCCCATGGGGTAACCCTAAACTTCCTTAGAGGGCAACCTCAGCCCCTGGTGTAGGGGCGACACGTTTTCAAAGCCCATTGCTGGATTTCCATTCAGACGTGGATTCTAGTTCCAACTCTAAAAATCACGTGACCCAAGCTACGTTTTCCCCTCCTCTATCTGGACTTGGCATCCCTCATCATTAAATGTACCAGTGGTCCCTGGCGTCTTCCATTTTGGTGACTCTGGGATCTCAGGCTGTTAGCTACAATGATTTACCAACATTACCAGATTTGATCACTCGGGGGCACTGCGACCTCAAAAATAGCCTTTGTGATTTCTACCTAACTGAACAGACCCAATACCTGAGAGAATTTGCAATAAATTGGAGGGTAATTAGAGCAAAAAGAACAAAACAAAAAAGGGCAAGACGTTTCCAAAAGTTCAACCTCACAAATAAAATAAATAAACAATTAGATTACGGTGGCACACACCTGTAATGCCAGTGGCCTGGGAGGCTGAGGCAGGAGGAACACAAGTTCAAAGCCAGCCTCAGCAACTTAGGGAGGCCCTAGGGAAATCAGTGAGAACCTGTCTCTAAATAAAATATTAAAAGGGTTGGGGATGTAGCTCAGTCTTTAAGTTCCCCTGGGTTCAATCCCCAGTACCAAAAAAAAAAAAAAAATTAGATGCCATTTTTCATCTAACAAAATAGAAAAATGTGTGGTAACACACACCTATAATAATCCTAGCCACTTGGGAGGCAGGAAAATTATAAGTTTGAGGCCAGCCTTGACAAATTAACCAGACCCTGTCTCAAAATAATAATTACATAAGGACTGGGGGTGTAGCTCAGTAGGTAAGTCTGAAGCCTTGGGTTGGTTCCCAGCATCACAAAAAAAGAAAAAGAAAGAAAGAAAGAAAAAAGAAATAAAGAAAGAAAAAGAAATGAAACAAAAAGATTTCTGTGTATTTGTTTTCTTTTAAGTAATATTTGATGCTGCCAAAGTAGTGAAGAAGGTGCTCTCATCCTGAAAGCAATTTGGCAAATGTTATTATTAATGAATTCAATAAAGTCCACACCCTTTGACCCACTAAACCCAAAAATCAGAAGAACTAAAACAAGAAAAAGAGACGTAGACCAAAAGATTTATGGACTGCAGCGTTATTTTACAATAGTGAAAATCTGTAAACGACTAGGACATTCCATCATAATGAATGTTTCCAGTAAAAATCACATTGTTAAGGAATCATTATGATGTGTGATGAGAAAAATAAGATATGGATGGTGATGTTTTTGAAAAACATGACCCAACACTATCTGCATTCCCAGCAGGACTAGAATTTTATTTATACGTGTGTTTACAATTGTTTACATATGTGTTTGGAAAACGTGGTGGAAAGAAATGTACCAAATCTCTACGGGAGATTTTTGTGTTCTATATATTTTGTGGAACATTTTGCATATTCTACAATCCATACCTATTATTATTAGAGTCAGAAGCAAAAATTTCTCCCTCTCCTCCTGCCCGCCCCATGAAGACAGCCAGGCTGAGTCACTTCCCTGACCCACCTGTTACGAGTAGGAATTACTGATTGGACTTTCCCCACTCACTTACTTCCTGGTACTTGGAAGACTTTTGTCCTTACATCCCCACTGGCCTGGGCCACTCTACCTGTTGGATCACTTCTCCCTCCTCCCTTTCTAGTCCCACCCTGCTGGGTCCTGCTCCAGGACTTTGCTCCTGTGGGACCCCTCACCAGGGGCACCTTCCCTCGGCTTGGCTCCTCAGGCCTGCTCATGGCCTGGGCCACACAGGGGCTGCAGTTGCCTGCCCTTCCCCTCCATGAAAAGTTGCCAGTGTGAAGTAATCCAACCAGCACGCTTGCTCTCTTGCATCTCCCTGACATGGTATTGGGCCAAAGCAACAGATAAATGCAAACCTAGCCAGTGTTCGTGCCTTGAGACAGTAAGTCCTAAAAGCCTCTCAGCCTTGCACTGCTCTGAAGGTCAAGATCTTGTGTCCCAATTTGCTCCTGCTCTGCCTTGCTCTAGGGATCCCCTCACACTGCAGATCTCTTTAAAAGTCTCCCTGGGCTTCTTCCCCCACCCTAGGGTCTGCCCTGCCTATACCAGCCCCACCAGCCTCTGACTCCAGCACCACCAGCCTGATTCACTCACTCCCTGATCACAGCACTTCACCCTTGGTTTGTGAATCACCAGTGCTGTGGCCTCATTGACTGAGCGCTTTATGCCTGAGTTTGGGGATTGGCCTCCTGCAGTGGAAATGGGAGGGTGCATCTGAATCCCCTGGGGAGCCAGCCAAGGCTAGGAGAGCTCAGCACCCTCCCCCACAATCCAGCAGGCCTGGGGTGGGGCCAGAGAATTTGCCCTTGTAACCAGCCTTCAGGTGAGGCTTCGGCCTTTGATCTGGGCATGCACCTTAAAAACCATGGACCTAGAGCAACAGGTGCAGGGTGGTGGCCCAAGGACCACATCTAGCCCACAGGGATTTGCCCGTTAAAATCTGAATTGCCACCTTTCCTTTAAAAAACAGTGTTTCTGCAGGGTAGAGTGGCACACTCCTGTAATCCCAGTCGGCACTCAGGAGGCTGAGGCAAGAGGATTGCAAGTTTGAGGCCAGTTTGGAAAACTTAGCGAGACCCTGTTCCAAAATAAAAATAAAAAAGGCTGCAGGTGTGACTCAGTGGTAGAGTATCCTGGGTTAAATCCCAGTACCGACCGAAATAAGGAAAGAAAGAAAGAAGTGAGAAGTGTTTCTAGCCTGACAGAGTGGCATCCCCACCTGAGATCCCAGCAGCTCAGGAGGCTGTAGCAGGAGGATCTCAAGTTCAAGGTCAGTCTGGGCAACTTAGTGAGGTCCTAAGCAACTTAGGAAGATCCTATCTCAAAATTGAAAAAAAAAAAAAAAGTGCGAGGGATGTGGCTCAGTGGCTAAGCGTCCCTGGGCTCAAATCCCAGGACCAAAATAGTCTTTCTGTCTACACTGCTTCTTCTTTCCCACGTGGCTGTCACTATGGGGAGTCCACTGCATTCCCAGGTCCTGCCCTGGAGCCTTCTGGCTCTGCTAACAGTGGCCTCAAAGCAGGGACTGGGTCTCAGAGGGCCACAGCAGCTCGGCCTGGGACAGCCGGGCACCTGGGCTGCCCTGGAAACCTCTCCCTGGACCACCTCCCTGCAGTCTGGGCAGCTTCTCCTCAGTCTTCAGGGGGCCCCATTTCTCATTTTCAACTTATTTTCTGTGGCCTCCCCCCAGAGCAACAGGGAACCAAGCAGGGTTGGCACAGCCAAAACCTCAAGACCGCTTGTCACCCCCACACTTTGTGCCCCAGGAACCACACAGCCAGGGTAGGCCTGACCCTGGTCAGGAGGCCCTTCCTGCTCCTCCTCCCTCCCAGAGGTAAGGACCAGGGAGAGAAGCAGAAGCTGAAGGAGATGGGTAGAAGGAGCTTTCTCCTGGCTCCCTGGCCTGGGGGGTGGCAGGGGAGTCGGGGTCCCTGACCCAATCTGAGCATAGGCAATGGGTTGAGGAGCATTCCCCCCAAAATTCATATTCACCTGGGACCTCGGAATGTAACCTGATTTGGAAACAGCATCTTTAGAACTCATCCTGGATTTAGGGAAGGTGTCCTGGTCAGAAGGAGAGGACACGGACGCACCCAGAGGGAAAGTCCACGCGCAGACAGAGATGAACTGGAGTGAAGCTGCCCACAGAGAGGGAGCCCCAGGAGCCCCCAGAAGCCAGAAGAGGCGGGAAGGCTCCCCCCTGAGTCCTCAGAGGTAGCATGGCCCTGCTGATTCTGGCCCCAGAATCTGGTCTCCAGAATTATGAGAGTAACACTTGCTGCTGCCCAGTTTGTGGTCATATATCACAGCCGCCCAGCACCCCAGCATCCCAGCCCCTCCACTGGGCAGCCGCTCCCCCTGCCCCTGCCTCTGCCCTCCCCCGTCCTCACCACCCACCAGCCCCCGCCACGCCCGAGATCTGCCTCCTGGGCCTGCTCCCCTCCAGCTGGCTTCCCATTCCCACCTCCACCCCAGGACCTGACAGTCGCTACCTGCTGCCCATAAGGTTGCAACAGTGACCCCAGGTTCCTCAAAAGCAGGGGACTCCAACCGTGGCCCCCTCGGCCACCTTCCAACACTCCTTGTGGTCTGGAGAAGCGGGCGCTCTTCACCTGGCTTTCAAGGCCAACGCCACCAAAGCAGCTTTACGGCCCAGACTCTCCAGCCCCTCCACTGAGCTGCTGTCTGGAGATCGGTCCTCCCCACCCCGTCTGCCTTGTGGATGTCACCCAGCCTTCAAGACCACCTCAGGTGGCACCTCACCAAGCAGCTTCCTCTGCTCCTCAAGACCCGGAAGCTTCCCTAACACGGGGCCTGGCTGGGTCCTTCGCCCATTCTGAATGTCCTGACTCTTTCCAGGGTCCCTCCGCCAGGACCAGGGTACACCCAGCTCTTCTCCGAACCCCTCTGGGCTCCAGCCCCTGCCCCCATTTACTTGGCACACGGTCCCTGGCCACCTAACTCTGAACTGGGTGACAGAGGCTGAGGGGCACAAAGCAAATGAGGTCCTGTTGTCATGGCAAGTCACTCTCCAGTGGGCTCGTGGGCGTCACCAGAGAAATGTGCCGAATCAGAGTGAGTGACGCTGAGCCTGGGGTCTGGAGGGCTCCGTCTGGCCTCCACCCACAGGCCTGCGCGTCCCCCAGGACCTTTCTTGTCTTCTGTCCTCATTTCAACTTATTTTTTTCTCTTCACCCACCGCACCGGTGTCGGCCTGCCTTTTGATCTTGGTGTTACAGAGTGAGGGGCAGAGGAGAGCCAGCTGCCTTCTCCAGGTGCTGGACACACAAGTCCCACGTGTCTTAGGTCCCTGGTCCCCACCCCACCCCTGCTGGCCACACCCAGGGAGGACAGCAGTCCTCTCTCCACACCCTCTGCCCCTGCCATGTCCCCTAGCACCCATGAGTCAGTCCACAGAGATGCTGCCACCCACCCCAGCGCCTGCCCCATCGTCTAGCCACTCACTGTGCCACCCAGTGCCCACCCTACCTGGGACTCCCGCCCAGCTTGCCTGCCTGAGCCTGGGGTCAGTGACAGGCAGGGTGGCTGTGGAGTCCCCGAGACTACCTGCAGCTGAGCTGGGGAGCAGCTCAACTTCTCCCCAGCAGGGACGCGCTGGTTGCCGTGGCTGTGGCTGAGCCCTCTCTGGGTCGAGGCCTCCCGGAGTGGGTCCCTGGGTACTCACAGCGCAGCCAGGTGAATCCCCGGGGCATGGTGGTGCACTGGCTTCCCCAAGAGCAGAGGTGCTGTCCCCAGCGGTGTGTCCACAGGAGCCTGAGCAGGGCCTACATGGCCACGTGTCAGAAAAGGTGGCCACCGAGTCAGGAAAGGGCTGTCCCCAAAGGAGGTGCCAGGCAGCAGGGATCAGGCAGGTGCTCCTGGGGCAGCAGCCTCCCTATCTGCCTGGCAGTGAGGAGGACAGCTGGGGGGCGGTGGCTGCTAGTCCCATGGCAGCCCAGGAGCTGGTATGAGATAGCAGTCTCCCTCGGGGTCTTCCTTCCCGAAGAGGAGGAGGAGAGGAGGAGGAGGAGGAGGTGGGGGAGGAGAGTCCCCAGCAGGCCCCTTGGAATCTGGGGCTGGGTGGCGCTTTCTGGCGCTTTCTCTGATTCCTCCGACTGCAGCTGCTCAGTGTGAGATCCGGCTCTGGAAAAAGAAGGAGGAGAGAAAGTGATTATGTAAGAGCAGGGCTGCCACTCAGCCACAGGCAGGCACAGAGGACCCACCGCGAGCGCAGCACCGGCCCACGCCACCGGGACTCCCGGGTCGCACACAAGAACCGACTTCAGGACTCCCAAGCGGCGGCCCCAGCCCAGGAGTGAGTTACGATGACACCAGCTGGCAGCCTTGGGCAGGAACAAAAGCAGACCTCGGAATGCATGGGCAGTGTGGGCCGGCACCCAGGAGAGGGGGCTGCCCGGAGGAGGAGGTGAGACTCCTGGTGAAGCTGGGGTGACCCGGCTGCAGGGGAGGCTGAAGAACACATGGCTCAGTCACCCTCCTCACCTCCTGACCGAGCCTCTCCTATATCACTCCCATCTCCTCCCCCTGCCCGGCAAAATAGGACTGTCCAGTTAAATCTGAATGTCAGATAAGCAAATACTTATCCCAGTCTGATTGTGTCATGCATGATTTTTTAGCATAAGTATGTCCCAAATATTGCCTGGGACATACTTGTGTTAAAAAGTATTCATTGTTAGCCGGGTGTGGTGGCTCACACCTGTGATCCCAGAAACTCCCGGAGGATGGAGCAGGAGCATTGCCAAGTTTGAAGCCAGCCTCAGCAACTTAGGGAGGCTGTAAGCAACTTAGCAAGACTTTGTCTCAAAATAAAAATAATAAAAAGGGCTGGGGATGTGACTTAGTAGTTAAGCGCCCTTGGGTTCAATCCCTGGTACCAAAAAAACCCCACCAAAAAAAAAAAAAGTTTTCACTATCTCTCAGCAATTGCAATTTCAAATTAATTGGAAGTCATGTATAGGTGGTGTGGTGTGTGTGTAACTAGATTTGGCATCCCTATGATAACACTAGAGCCCTAAAGCTCTCTTCTTGAGAACTCAGTGTGTGTGTGCTAGACCCAGAGCTAAGGACATTTTTCATCAAATCTTCAACACCACGTAATGAAACCATAAAAATCTTATTTTACCAATGAGGAAATTGAGGTCCAGAAAGGTCAGGGCATTTCCCCAAGGCCACACAGTCTGTAAAAAGTGACAGGAATTCAAACCTGGCCCACTGGTAGTCATTCTCAGAACTCAACACCCACAGTGTTCTCATAGAGTTACCTCTCCGTCCCTCACTGGGCTCCATAGGACATGGTCTGGGTCTCCATGTTGTAGATGAGGCTGAGGTGCCCAGTAGCTGGGCTGGCTCTGCAATTCAGTCTCTGAGCAGGTTCTATTCCATCCCCATGTTCTTCCCTGTTCCCCCTCTGGTCAGGGGAAAGGGCCACAGGGTGAGGGCTTGGGGGGAAAGATGGTATGATTCGGGGGTCTTCTCTACTGTGGCATCTGGAGCATGGACCAGAAATGCTGGCCCTGGGCTGGGGCTGGGCTCAGCAGGAAGCCCTGGCTGAGCAGGCACCAGGCCCTGGGGTTGATCCCCAGCCCTGAAGAAACAAACCAAAGAAAAAGAGCCAGCCCTTGCTCTAGTGGCTGGATTGCTGTCCTCCCTGGGTGTGGCCAACTGGGAGGACCGTCTTTTGGTAGAGCGCGGACCCTCCACCTATCTCTCCCCTCCACCTCACCCTGGCGATGTCCCTGCTATAACAGTGTCCCTGCCAACTAGACTTCAGTTGACATTTTTCCAGGTTTATGGAGGTAGGACTTACATCCGTAAAATTTGCCTTTTTTTTCGTGTATGATCAGAGAGAGAGAGAGAGAACGAGAGTGCGTACGCAGTGCTAGGGACAGAACCCAGGGTCTCACACATTCTAGGCAAGAGCCCTATGCTGAGCTATACCCCCAGCCCTTTTTCTTTTTTATTTTGAGACAGGGCCTCACTAAGTTGCCCAGTCCAGTCTTACACTTTCAATCCTCCTGCCTCGGCCTCCTGTGTAGCTGGGATTACAGGCCTGCACCATGCACCCGGCTAAGAGCTTATAACCACCACAGTCACAAAGTAGAAAACACTTCTGTTCCTGCAGAAGCCCCTCCAACTGTCCTGCAGGGAGCCCTCCCACCTCAGCACTGGGCAGGGACCCATTTGTTTCCTGCAAGCACTTTTCCCACAGAATGTCACACAGTTACAATTCTGGGGTGCGACCTTCTGCTTGTCACTTCTCTCTTGTGGCATGCTGCACTTGGGGTTCTCCATGTTTTTGTCGTTGTTTTTTGGTACCAGGCATTGAGCCCAAGGGCACTTAACCACTAAGCCACATCCCCAGCCCTTTATTTTGGAGACAGGGTCTCGCTGAGTTGCTTAGGGCCTCACTAAGTTGCTGAGACTGGCTTTGAATTTGAGATCCTCCTGCCTCAGCCTCCCAAGTCACTGGGATTATACAGGTGTGTGCCACCGCGCCTGGCTGCCATGTTGTTACCCGTATTAGAAATCCTCTTTGGGGGGGCTGGGGGGTGGCTCAGGGCTACCACTTGTGCTTGCCTAACATGTGTGAGGCACTGAGTTCAATTCTCAGCACTACATATAAATTTAAAAAATAAAGATCCACTGACGACTAAAAAATATTTTTATAAAGGGAGGCTAGGGTTGTAGCTCAGTGGTAGAGCGCTTGCCTAGCACAGGTGAGGCACTGAGTTCGATTCCAGCACCACGTGAAAAAAAATAAATGAATAAAATAAAGTTATAAAAATGTATGTATTTTAAAATACATATTAAAAAAAGAGAAATCTCCTTTTTCCTTGCTGAGCAGTTTGTACATTGTGTAGCTGGATCCCTGTTTGCTTCCCCTCCATGGAAGGGCATCTGGGTTGTTCCCAGTTTTGGGTGACAGGGAATAAGAGCCTCCGCATGCAGGGTTCTGTGTGGATGGCCGCGTCTGTCTCTCCTAGGCCTACCTGTCGTTTCAAGTCGTGCACCATGGCCCTTAGAACACCTGCCACCCGAGTGCCACTCAGGGGCCTGGGCCGCTCATCACCTCTGAGCACCCCTCAGCTCTGCTGAGCCCAGGACGGTGGGTCCCAGAGCCCAGACCTCCCCACACCCAGGCACACACCACTGTCAGGATCTTTGCCCTGTCCTTGTCCCGCAAACTCTTTGGGCAGACTCCCCATCAGAAAGGCTCCAACGTGGAACCCTGCCTGTGTCCTGGCTGAGAAATCAAGCAAATGAGAAATGGAGCTTCATGGCACAGCTGTATCAAGTCCTGAGCCTGAGCATCATCTGGAGGGGGCGAGTGGGAGAGCCCAATGAGGCCACCAAGTAGGAGTTACGAACGACAGAAGCCAGACCCAGGCTGAGGGGCACAGCGGGAACCTAGGCCGCTGGGAGAGGCTGGAACAGGTACGGCCCAATGGCTTGGGGCTCCTCTTGGCAAATGAGGCCTAACCAAGGGCCTGGGAGCTTGACTGTGGCCTTCCCCACATCTGGGAGGGCCCAAGCCTGCCCTTGGTCTCTCTGTCTCTTTCTTTTTCTTACTCTCTCCTTCCGTCCCTCCTCCGTGTCTGTCTGTATGTCTCTCTCTCTCTCTCTGGGGTGGGGAGGGGAGTGGGTGAGGAGTTTGGAAACACTGCGCCTCTCCTACCCCACCCCACTCTACCCCTGGGGCCTGTAGCATCATTCAGAAGCTCAGGCAGGGAAAAGTTGTGCTAGAAAGTAAATGAGGACATAGTATTCTTCATAGTTCAGCCGTGACGAGCATTTTCAAAGTTGCAGAAGCAAGTACAAAGTGAATATTCATTTCGCCCACTTATGACTTAAGGACGCTGGGAGGGCCGGGGTCAGAGAGAGGGAAGGTATGTGGGGAAGGAAGGGTGACAAGAACTAAATCTTCCATGGCAGAAAGTCAGCAGATAAGGGCTCAGATGAAGAAGCAGTGGCGAAAGACTGCTTTCTAGAAAAAGGACAGATGGTTGATAGATAATGGTGATAGATAGATAGATGATAGATAGATAGATAGATAGATAGATAGATAGATAGATAGATAGATAGATAGATGATAGATAGATAGATAGATAGATATTTTTAAAAGTTCCCTGTGTCTGGAAGCAGAAAGAGGCCTGCCGTTGTTTATAATATCACACTGAACTATTTTATTCTTTTGCTTGGGGGGATTATTTTTTGTTTGTTTGTTTTTATTTGTTTGATTGATACTGAGGCTTGAACCTAGAGGTGCTTTACCACTGAGCTGAATCCCCAGTCCTTTATTTATTTATTTTAAATTTTATTTTGAGACAGGATCTCACTAAGTTGCTTCGGGACTTGCTCAATTGCTCAGGCTGGCCTCAAACTTATGATCCTCCTGCTTCAGCCTCCCAAGTCACTAGGGCTACAGGCATGAGCCACTGGGCCCGGCTATTTCTTCTTTAATTCAGGTGCAGACATAACTTGGATTTTAAATTTTTTTCAACCAAATTTAAAAACAGTGAATTTCTGTGCTGGACCTGTGTTGCCATGTCCAGCCATGTTGGGCCTCAAGGACCTGTTCACCTTGGGACATCATTGCCCCTTCTTTCCATCGCTACCTGCTTTGGTTCTTCTGTCCCCTGCCTGAGAACCAAGACCGCCCCCAGAGAGGGAGCAGTGGAACCCCATTTGGAGTTGTGAGTTTCACTCTAAAGCCTGGTCCCCAACCCAGAAGAGAAGAGGACACCCAGCCAGCGAGAGACCCCAAGTACCCATTCTATCGGCTATGGGACACATCACTCCAAAATAAAGAGGCAGAAAACCATCTTTTTTTTTTTCATGAACTATAGGTTGGCTGGAACTTAGCTGACCCAGACTGGGCTCTGCTGGCCCAGGCTGGACTTGGGCTCTGCCCACAACTAATCTATTACACCCACCCAGAACATTCTTCTCTCAAAGAGGCCAGCCCTGGCCTCAGAGTCCTAGGGGACAGAGTATTGAGTCACTTGCCCAGTCTGACTACTCTCCTCTAAGTAGGACGGGGCCAAAAGGGCCTCCGAGTCATTCCAAACAGCCCCACATTCTAGAGATGAGCAAATGGAGATCTGGTGGGGGTGGGAGCTGGCCCCAGGGCACAGGGCCTCCAAGTCTCCCCATCTATCTCCGCCAATGAATCAAACCGTGCCCCCATCAGAATGTGGGAGGCACAGGAAGTCATCTCAAGGAGTGAGTCACAGATGCTCTAGACAGGAGGGAAGGCAGGAAAATAGGACTGAGTTTAGGCCTCAGGAAAAGGGAGAGAGAAACAGACCTAGGAACCATTGATTCCAGTTAATTTCATTAGCCCAGGGTCCCTTATGTCTTTTGTTCCTTTCTTTTGTTTAAAGATAGAATTTGCATGCCATAATTAATTTCATTAGTTAATTTCATGTTTCTGAATAATATTTTAAGCACCACCCCTGTTCTACCAGTGGAAATAAGATTTCAACTCTGGGGCATCATAAGATTTAGCACAAGACCTACTCCCAACCACACATAAGATGTCAGTCGCATTCTGAGAAGTGGCCTGGGTCAGACTCTGGCTCCTATTCAGTACAAGTCCAATCTGCAAACAAATTTCTATGCCTCCATGTGACTTACTTTGACCAATGGGATAGATAGAGTTTGACTCCTCTTTCCGCGGGGAAGGCTTTGCATTGTGTAAATAATCCAGGTAGCCTCCTAAGGGAGACCCTACTGAGGTCCCAGACATTTGAGTGAGGCCATCTTAGACCAGCTGGCCACAGCCAAGTCATCCCAGAGTCAGTCAACCCACAGAATTGTGAGAAATAAACCACTATTATTTTAAGCCACTAAGTTGGGGGCTGTTTTTTTTATGCAGAAAACGTTGACTGATACAGCATGAAGGTGTGTCATCTCTGCAGAATGTTCAGTAAAAGGCCTGATCAATCCCAACCCAAAGCATCTTGTGGGAGTTCAGAGGCTTGTCTTCTTAGAATGAAGCTCAGTTCTAGGTCAGGAGGCCTTTGGGGACAAAGGTATCCTGAAATTGTCCTAACACACAGTTCAGAATCTTCTGTAGGAGATGAACTTTCTAGAATTTAGGACTAATCAAGACTTCTTATTTGCTCTGGCATTTTTTATTTTTTTTGAAACTTGTTTTTATGGAAATTTTATCAAACAAACCCAACAAGATAGACTAGTATAATGGACGTCCGTATAGCCATGACTCAGCTTCCAAAATTATCAGTACCTGTTATTTCAGTTTTACCCACCTCCCTCCTTTTTTTTCTTTTTCTTGGACTATTTTAAAGCACTCACTAATATGTAAGGATTTTAAGAATTTTAAATAAATATAGACACAATGTAATTATTGTGCCCCACCAAATTAATAACTGCTTAGTATAATTCAATACAAAATCCATATTCAATTTTCCCTATTTTTTTAAGTGTCTTTTTTTAGTTCCTTTTTTTGCACCCACAGAGTGGTCCATACAGTGCACTGAACAGATGTGTCCCTTATGTCTTTTGTTCCTTTCTTTTGTTTAAAGATAGAGTTTGCATGCCATAAGACTCACCACTTTAA